GACATTGGGTTGTTTCGGGTTGAGTTATTTCGTATTGGGTTGAGTTAGGTTAATCGGATTGGTAGGGTTTTTGAGCACCTCTAGTGTGTGGACCATAATTTCAAACCTCTACTTTTCTTCTCATCTCATTCCTCCCATCATTTTTTATATTATTAAAATGTTTTATACAATTAGAAAATGTTATTTCTCTTTTCTAAATATATAATTTCAAAGCTTTTTATTGGTGAGAAGTAAGAATTGGGAGTATGATAAAATAAAATTAGTCTTAGAGTAATTTTTTTTTTTTTTGAAAGTTCTTCAAATTTAAAGAATTTCATACTCTTTTTTACTTTTTTTATTTTGGAGAACGGATATTCATGTGATATAGTGAGATATATCTCGATTTTAATGTTTCGTTTTATTCCGTCTTTATAGATGTTATATATGGTTTTAAGAAATGAATAATATCTTTATTTTTGAATAACTAAATATATCAATATTAGTATCAAATTAACTATTTAAAAGTTTTTTTTTTGTGTAACTTTTTTGATTCAATTTTTTTAATTTTAATTTAATAACGAAATAATTTATTTTTATTTAATAAAATAATATTTTATAAAAATAATAATTAAGTATTTTGTTAGAACTTAATGATTATCCTAATTATATTTTGTATTTTTTATATTTAAAATGAAATGTTTATTTTGTACTTGACTATGTTTATGTGCAATTAGTTACACTAATTCAAACATGAAACTTTAATAAGTTGTACTTGCACACAGTTTATTTATAATCTTGAATTTTAAGTAATATGCACCAATAAACGGTACTTCATACATAAAAAAATGATTTTTAATAATTTTTATCAAATATTTTATAATATAAGTATAAGTTGAAGAATTGGTTGAAGCATAAAAACTTATTCAAAATCTCTATTTTAAATAATTTATATGGAGATGCTTCAAGCCTTTTAAATGGTTGTTTACCATTATTATATTTGTTGTAGTTTAAGGATATTTGTAGTTTTATGCAAATTATAGGGATCAAAATTGTAATTTGCTCTATTATTTATAGTAACAAAAAACGCCGATCATATTCATGAAGGATCAGACGGAATTACAATAAAACAGTTAAATTCATAAAGGATCATACGGCAATAGAATAAAACAGTTAAATCACATGTGATTTTATATGTGATTATAGAACACGGTCAATGAAGCGTGAGCAGACGATGTGGCTTGCAACCTTAAATCTCAGCAAAATCGTGCGAATCACATGTGATTTTAATGTAAAACGAGACGTGATTCAACCGTCTTCATATTATCTTATTTGGCTTTTTTTTTTTTTTAAATATGAACCTGACTCGTATATTCATACCCCTTCACCATATGAGTGGTATGTGAGTGAATAAGGATATGAAATACTTATGAGTGGGAAAGGAATATAAAAAATAATTCATATGTAAGTAAAGAAGGCATTAATCGCAATCTCCTACAAATACATTGTTTTTATGAAAGATACGTCTAAAACACCAATAGGAATTTAATAATACTGATACGTGATGTTTTCTTTAAATTTTGACATGTGATTAATTTATTATAATATAAAGTTTATATGAAACAAAAAAAAGTTATCTGGTGATTTGGTTTACTCGTAAAGAAATGCAATCACAATTATGGTTGCAGTCTGATCGGGTTGAAGAAATTTAAATAATTTAATTCAATGTTTACGGTTTAAAAAATCTTAATCCAAGTAAAACTACAACCACACCCAATTCAAACTGTGTAGATTAATCGAGTTGAAACTTTGGTGCATTATTTAATAATCTAACTAAGCGTTTATGTTTAAACGCAATAAAAGCAAAATAAGAACATACAAAAAAGGTAACAAACTCAAAAAAGCTTGAAGATTCATCCAAATAAGAAAGTAAAATTACGGCTGAGATTGTAATATAATTTTGAATATAGCTAGTTACGGATTGGTCTATTGTCTAATTTATATATGTAAATCAATCACTTAACAATAATATTAAATTCATAGTAAAGAAAATATCGTGTTCATCAGGTTGGGTTAGGTTCAAATTACCTAAACCCAATAGTGTATCAAGTATATGTCGGGTTACCTTCGGTTGAGTTTTTTAGGTTTTCTTGGTTTGGGTTAGTCTGTTTTTTGAGCACCCCTAATCACAATGGTCTACATCCAAACAACGTGGATTCACTTTGTTCGAAAATACAAAGAATAACACATGTCAAAATTACGATTTAAATCATACTGTAAACATAATGTAAGAAAAATAAGACTGCAAACACCATTAATAAAGTGTTGAATTAAATATGAGATGGTAAAGTTGTATACTTTATGACAAACAAAGACAAAGAATGAGAAGAGATTTTGGGTTAGTGATGAGAAAAAAAGGCCCAAAAAGAGCAAAACCAATTGAAACTATAAGACTTAAAATGTTAGTTTTGCAACTTTTCATGTATGCTTTAAAGAATGGTTGCTCTTTTGGGACCTTCAATTTCAATTTATACTTTAATTAAAAAAATATTTATCATCTAAAATTACTATTAAAGACAAATATTTAAAAGTATTGATTATAATAAGGGGTCGTTTACCAAATGCTTATTCGGGTAAACATTTATTAAGTAACATTACCTCACCGGATGAATATAGTAAGGACCAAGAGTCTTACCCGGTAAGTACTTACCTGGTAAATTGTTGCATACGATGTTGTTTTGATGGACTAAAATCTTACCCGGTAAATACATAATAGTGTTAAATTTTACCGGGTAAGTGTTCGATAAACGACCCCTAAGTTTGTTTCACAATATAAAACTCTTTTTTTTTGCCTGTTTGTGTTCACTAAAATACATGTAAAAACTTCATACTGTAAAACAAATACTTTGTGAAACAAATATATGTTAATCAATGCCTTAAGTCCCAACATTAGCTAGAACAAAAAAACATGTGAGGTTTTAAAGTATAAGTTCTCACAATTATTACAGTATTTGAGGTTCTTATCTGATTATGTTTTAAAGGACACAATAATATGAGTTTGTGTTTTTACACCATTTTTTTTCGATTATATATTGAAATAACAAAGTTATCAGTTAAATTACGTCATTTATGTTTGTTGATAATTATTAATTGATTAATGTTATTCTCGTTAAGTTGTCCTTTCTTTGTCGTATTCCGAATCCATCAATCATGTTAAATAGTGTTATACTTGTCCGTTTGTCGAATACATAAGAATCAACAAATTAAACAAAAAGATATGTTAATTTAGTCATGGGTAGGTCGTGAAGACGAATAAGATCTTGCAATGGCATTGTGAGGACACAAATCATCTCTTCTCTCAAGAATAATATATCACCAAGGTAGAACAAAATCAACACATATAGCAAAAGTAGGGGTTTTGATTGAGGATGACAATAATAGAGACTAAGATGACTTTAGTTTACCCTCTAACATGTATAGGAATGATGATACTTCAAAATTTGGTTCATCATTGCACAGTAACGTACAACATGGTTTCCCCTCACCCTGTCATTTTACAGTTAGGAATCCTTCTTTTTCTCCCCCAATTTATCGATCCATATAGTTTCAAACAAAACACCCTCGATCGTATTTGAGAGAAGAAGCATGTGCAGGATTTCCTGTATCAGAGAGCACTTCATATCTTTTTTGGGGTCAAGAGATGGATTATATCAACACACAAGATTTTCTAGTACCCGTATCTAACCAACTTTCTGGAAAAAAAAGGGATTACAAATCACATAATAACCTAAGAATCCAGTTGAGAAAGGACTAAGATCACACCATGTAATGTCTTCAAAATTTCACATAAACAAAAATTCATGAAAACCACTGTATGGATTATAATCCAAAAGAACGAACGAAGAAGATGATGAAATAACTTTTGTGTGAGATAATGCTTGAGAAGTCTTTGACAAAAGGAGAGAGATCAGAGAACAATTTGAGGGTAGAGTTTTGATATATGATAAGAATTTAAGATGGGTGGGTGACAAATTTGAAGGGCGTATCAGTTATAAGCAATCCAATTTAAAGAGACCCTGAAGTCAGGGGAGTAGGAGAGAAAAATTAGGGCTCTTTGAAGAAAAGGTGGAGATGGTTGAAATGGAGGAGGAATCGAGAAAGAGAAATGAGGGATTGTGGGAAGTGGAAGGACATAAATGAGAGGTTTAATTTAAATTTAAGAGAATATGTGATAAGATGATGCTTTAAATAGTTGTATATTAATTATCAAAACTTATACTTCTTATTTTTTAACAATAATTGTTTAATGTGTTTTATAGTATATTATGTGAAATGAAATATTGGGGAATATAAAACAAATTAAATAAATAACTACAGGTTTAAAATATAAGTTCTAAATAATTCACTATTTTTTAATAATACTTAATAATATAATTAAATCAAAAGATATTCGATATTAGACTCGTTTTGAAAGTATTGATGAGACGATTATAATGATGTATTTTGTATAATAAAAAATTAATTTTTAATGCGTTTTAGTTCACGTATGATTATTTATGTTAATACGATAAGAGTGTAAAACGAAAAACGAAAAATAAGGGATATTAAATAAATAAATAAATAAATATATATATATATATATATATATATATACATATATATTGATTGGTGGACAATTGTTGTTTTTATAGCATGTTGGTCTAACACAAGTGTTTATTTTTTTAATGGGGTGTTTAATATTTAGTTAAGTCGTGGGTTTGATCCAAATCTATTTTACGTTTATCATTCTTTTTCTTCGTGAAAGTTTGGCAACGATTTGTTGTAAGATCGAGATAATATAAAAAACGCTCAAACCCATGTTTTCGTAAAAGGACTTGTATCTGTTCGAATAATATATATGCGATATGTTTGAAACCTTTTTTTTAAAACGTCTGTTTTTGAACGTCTCAAGTCATGTCTGATGGTTATATGTCAATAATCCAAGTTTGATTCAATCTCCTTTTGTTTTGCAATGTAGATTTGATGGCGAAGAATTCTTAAGAAAAATGAGCGGAAAAAAGATAATGTACGTTGGCGATTCAGTAAGCGTAAATCAGTGGCAATCAATGGTTTGCCTTCTTCATGCTGCATTGCCATCTCAATCCAACATAACTGATGAAACTATCAACTCAACTAGAACCGTCACGTACCAGGTAATATATGAATTGTTATTATCCATTATTTTATATAATACGTTATAAAGAAGTACTTAATGGTCATGTTATGATGTGAGCTTTGTAGGATTACGGAGTTTCGATTTCGGTTTTCTTATCTCATTACTTGGTAGACATTGTTGATGAGAAAATTGGACGGGTTATGAGACTTGATTCCATCGCAGACGGAGATATATGGAAAGAGAACGATGTTTTGATCTTTAATACTTGGCTTTGGTGGTATCGTAGCGGAGATAAACAACCGTAAGTACGATTTTTTATTTCGAAGATTATACAGTCACTGACCAATAGTTTAAAAGTTGTACGGTTTGATGCAGATGGGATTATATTGAAACAGATAATAAAATACTGAAGGACATGGATAGAATGGCTGCTTTTCGCGAGGGTTTGAAGACTTGGGCGAATTGGGTCGATTCAGATGTGAACACACTAAAAACGACCGTGTTTTTCCAAGGAGTTTCGCCGTCTCATTACAAGTAATGATTTCTTTACTGAACATTATAAAAACTAAGTTTTATGATAGACATGAGATCCGACCCTTGATCAAATTTAATGTATTAAGAGCATCTTCAACAAATTCTTTAAAAATGGAGAAAATTAGGGTTTTCGATAGTTTTTTTTATTCTTATTTTAAAAAATTTGTTCAAAGTATTCTAAAACATTTACAATTAGTTTTTTTTAAATAATTTTATCAAAATAAAAAAGCAAAAGTCAAAGTCTTAAAAAAATTACATTTAATAATTTCTCAATGTAATTAATTAATAATTTCCAAATAAAACAAAAAGAA